TGTGTTGTTACTGATTGGGCCCTAAATGCACTACTTTCAGCTTTATATTAAGCTTTATTTAAAATCTGATTTACTAGAATTACCATGTGATTGGTATCTGCTGACATTTCAGTGCAAATTAACTCCTTGGAGTTTGATTTTTAAATGTGTTAACATTTTTCTTCCTTTAAGCAGACAATTTATCTTTCTAATGAATGCATAATACTGCTTAGTATTATCCATGTATGGTATCAAAATTAAGGATCCATTTTTTTCTTCTTGCACTTAAACATTTTTTTCTAATAAAAAATTAATATGTTTTTATTATAGAATAGCGATTTAAACATCACCCACTGAGCCAAGTTTTCACCTTTGGAGTGGGAGGTTAAAGGTAAGTCAGGGGAAGAGACTATAATAATCCATGTTGCAATAGATTAGAGTTAGAGACATAAGTATAAACTCATATTTAGGTTAATATACAGAGAATTATATAAAGAACTATTTATGGATACACATGTACACAGATTAGTATAACCTATTTCCTTGCTTTCAGTTGAGAGGACTTAGAAGCAATAATACCACCACAACAAGAAGCACATAAGGCACCCAGATCTTTGTTTCTCATACTTTTTTCTAATAAACACAAACCAGGGCTCCTTGGAGAAGTGGCTGATTGATAGAGAGAGTTATATAAAGAACTATTTATGGATACACATGTACACAGATTAGTATAACCTATTTCCTTGCTTTCAGTTGAGAGGACTTAGAAGCAATAATACCACCACAACAAGAAGCACATAAGGCACCCAGATCTTTGTTTCTCATACTTTTTTCTAATAAACACAAACCAGGGCTCCTTGGAGAAGTGGCTGATTCTAGGACTGGAGCAGGAAAGATACAGATGAGCCTGGAGTATCTCATCATGCAACAAAATAGGGAATAACTTCTTTCAAGTACCCAGCAGTAATGGTATATGTCAAAAGGACATAGGAGCCAATGGGAAGAGCTCCCAATAATAGCCAAGGTTGGACAAATTTGAGCCACAAAGAAGTATTGAAGTATAACCCAAAATATAAGAAAATGCTTAGAAATGTCCTTGAGTCAGTACTTATATAAATAAAAAATTGAAAGGATAAAACAGAATAGAATAAAAGAATAGGATGGAATAGAATAGAAGAGAATGGAGTAGAATAGAATAGGACAGATCTCCCATGTCAAAGAATTTCAAATAATTTATGTAGACTCCATCCTCAAGGAGGGAGGAGGTGGAACATGGCTCCCACTTAAGTGTGAGATCCCATAGTGACTTCCTTCCAAAGAGGACCCTATGGAAGCAGGGTAAGTTGACAAACACTACTTCAGGCAGGTTCATTCAATATGATAGGCATGTTGCTACACCCTTAATATGATATAATAAAAATGGCACTTTACCTCTGTGTTATTCCTCCCCAGAATTTCTAACCCCAATCTAATAAGACAAGCATCAAACAATTCCCAATTGAGGGGCATTCTTCAAAATACCTGACCACTACTCCTCAAAACTGTCAAGGTCACACCAAACCAGAAAAGTCTGAGAAACTGTCACAGCCAAGAGGAGTCTAGGAAACTTGATGACTAAATGCAATGTGGTATCCTGAATGGAATCCTAGAACCAACCCCCCCCAAAACTATACAAACAAAAACCCAGAATATTAGTAAAAATTAAGGAAATCCCAAGAAAGTATGGACTTTAGTTAATAATAATGTATGAATATTGGTGTATTAATTGTAATAAATATACCATCCTAAGGCAAGGTATTAATAATAGGGATGGAATGTGTTGTATAAAAGTGCTCTGTGTACTATTTTTGCAATTTTCTATAACCTAAAGCTTCTACATTTAAGGTTTTTTCTTTAAAAACAATAACCCATGATCCCATAATCTAGCAATAAAAATAAACATTATAATACAGATTTTATTTTTTCCACTGTCTATTTTTATTTTTCAAAGTGGTTTCATACTTTTTTCATTTAACATTTGGTGGATGTATCTTGATGCCCTTATAATTCTACAACGTGATTTGTATTTACTTTAGAGTAGTTCATCTTAGGATGTATCACATTATTTAGTCAATTATCCATTGGTGTCTTTATTCTTCTCTAATTCCATTGAACTCATTAGGGGAGGAGTTGTGGGAAATGGAGGCTGTAAGAAGAGAGGAAGCAATTCTGACCTATTTGTTCATTGTGAAAAACAGACAGGTGGGCCTGGTCCAGTGCTGCCAGGGAAAACAAGAGATCTGAACACTGGGTTTAGCTTTGCAAAGAACTTGGATATGGTTAATTTCACTTACCCTCTACAGTTCTTAGTGTCCTTATCTAGAAAATGAACTACATAACTTATTCAACTGTCCATTCCTAAAATATATTTTGCAAAAAGACCATTTGTATATATTTTGCAAAAAGACCATTTTTAAGAGAATTTTATGTATGGGATATGACCAAGCATACTTAATATGATAAAGAGGGTGTAGAAAATAGATGACAGATACATTTCCTCTTTGCTGTATAATCAAAAACAATATCCATCATGTTGCACTAATGGAACACATTATGTGAAATGACATGAAGATCTAACAGTTATGCAAAGGGGACTCTGCCCACTGAAGGAGAGGGAGGACTAGCCTATAAATGCTGCAGGAGATTGAGTTCAGCTAAACACAAAGAAGGGGGTGTCTAAAATAGACTGGGCTTTCTAGAAAAATGAGTGGGTTCTTGTATGTGAAGAATTTTGCAGCAAGAGCTCGATGGAGAATCATCAGGGATATTCAGAAGCAACACCTTCCCTTGGTAGGAATTCAAACTGATGGCCTCCATGTTCACTTTCAATTTTAAAAGGCTAGAATTTTTCTTTAATTTTAGGTACAACATCACCCTTTAGACTACTGCCCACAAGTATTGCCCCTGATTATGAGCTCTCTGCTGTCTCATTGGTCTCTAGATAACAGAATAATAAATTCCACTAGCAAAAATAAAAAGCATCGAATTATTAAAAGGATGGGTCCTTTGGTTTGTTTGTATGCATGGGTGGGCACCTCTCTAAGCATCCAATGAAGAACAGGTCTTTCACTGTTATTAAGGTGTGAAGAAATCAGCTCTTGAAACTCAATCTTCTATATGAAGTCAAGGCAAGACGAAGAGAAGCTTCAGAAAGCAGGTCTCCAGTTCACAATCAGACTTTAGAATTTGTCCTCAAGATTTCTTCCTATTCTTTCCAGAACATGAACTTGTGAAAGCCCTGACAGGTAAGAAATAACACACAAACACAAACACTAAGAAGGTGTGAAGAAATCAGCTCTTGAAACTCAATCTTCTATATGAAGTCAAGGCAAGACGAAGAGAAGCTTCAGAAAGCAGGTCTCCAGTTCACAATCAGACTTTAGAATTTGTCCTCAAGATTTCTTCCTATTCTTTCCAGAACATGAACTTGTGAAAGCCCTGACAGGTAAGAAATAACACACAAACACAAACACACACACACACACACACACAAGCTTATTAATATGCAAGTTTTTGATCTGATGCAGGTGAGAGTTCCTCACCTTCACACTTTTGTTTACTGAGGGAGGATTTGTACCTGGTGAGTTTTGTTTCCTAAATGGTGAAGGTGACTCACTGTTTTACACAGCAAAGGACTCCAATGTACTTATCCTTACCCATCTAGCCCATCAAGCAAAAACTATGTGATCCCAAAATGTGTGTGTCTGTGTGTGTGTGTGTTTATTTTTCCCCCCTGAAATTCTGTTCAAAGGAGAAAATTAGATAGCCTCTCATTCCCCTTCATTTCAGCATAAATCAGATGGCTAGAAACCAGTTGGTTTCGGAAAGGCGAGATGAAAGAGAAAATGGGGGGAAGAGGACTGAAACCAGCCTTTAACAACTTTTTCTCCTAAACTTCAAAAGTACAGAATGGGAACGTAATATTTTATGAGAAACCACATATTGCATGTAGATCTTCACTTCCAACACACACACACACACACACACACACACACACACACACACACACACACGGCTGCTATTGGCAATTGTGTCCTCTCCAATCACCAGAGCCAGGAAGGGATTCCTAGAGCCCAGAGCACCGCCGTAGGATGGGGTCTCTGGCAGCCCTCGCTGCAGCTGATCCTCTGTGGACTGACAGCGTGGCGTTGCCAGGAACCCTCTGCACGCTTGGCGGCATGCTAAAAATGCAGCATCATCCTCTCTGCTCCTTTTCTTCAGCCAAAGAGCAGAATTCGAGGGCAAGGGAACCCGGAGGGGCAAAGCTGGCCGCCTGCCTCCAGGAGCTCCCTCCCTGCACCTCCACCCGCCTGGCTCGGGCTCTAATAGCCTCCGCTCCAATGGGCCAGCCTCGCCTTCTCCCATTTCCTCTTCCATTCACTCCAGCGGGGAGCAAAGAGGGAAAACAAAACTCTAAAAATAACTGTCAGCATCTTAAGAAAGGAAAAGCGTAGCTGCTCCACACTCTCGTC